ATTTCATTGTATTTATTGCTAAACACCACCTCGATGAGAGACAAAATGCCTTTTTCCAGTTTTCGTCAGTTTCGTCAACTTCCATCAGTTTCGTCACCTTTTGCCAGTTTCACCATTTCGTCTTTTTAAATTTTTTTTGCTGAAAGTCAAAACCAGGTTTTGCCATTTGCCAGGGTATATGTCAGACGACAGTCACAGAAATTGGTTGTTTTTTTGTTCTTAATGGGATCAGTTTTGGCCTGTCGGACGACAGTCAAATCTAGTGTAAGCGGCCTATCGGCATTCAGATTAACGTTGCATACAGTAAACTTTATTGCCATGTTTATTTGCTTACTTGCACTTTTGCGCTTATTTGCACTTTAACGACACTCTTGAATTCTGCGTTGATCTAGGAGGTTTGCATGAAGCAGCAGAGACAGAATAACCATAATTGTTATTGCTAAACACCTCCTCGATGAGAGACACAATGCCTTTTTCTAGCTTTCGTCAGTTTCGTCATCTTTCGTTAGTTTCGTCACCTTTCGTCAGTTTTGTGACCTTTCGCCAGTTTCGCCATTTCGTTATTTTAAATTTTTTTTGCTGAAAGTCGAAACCAGGTTTCGCCATCCACCATTGGCAAAACCTCTATGTTTCGCCTAACAACTATAGTTAAGAAAATAAGTATTGGGAAATAAGTAATCGTTAGGGAAATAGTTGTCAAGAAATTCAATGTGACTGGGACCTAATGAAAAATTAACTTTGTTTATAGTAAAAATCTGAAATTACGATAATTCTAATACAAACCAATATTTTCGCAGTCGTATTTTTGTTACAGTATCTTCTTCATCGTATCTTCTTCACCGTATCTTCTTCGCCGTATCTTCTTCGCCGTATCTTCTTCGCTCCTATCTTCTTCGCTCCTATCTTCTTCGCCTGTATCTTTTTCGCCTGTATCTTCTTCACCTGTATCTTCTTCGCCATATCTTCTTTGCTCGTATCTGGTATATTTAAATTTATTATAATTAGAAATAATTATTTTAAATAAAATTTTTAGGGTTTTGGAATTAATTTTATCACCAATCTGTAGGATAACTGAGAGAGTACCTACTAGTTGTTAATGTAAATTTAGTCTGTTTTCCCTATAATTCCTAGGATTTTGACTTGTTGAGACTTGTTTAAAGTAATCAAGTCTCAAAATAATATGAAAACTGGCAATTTTCATAATCTATATTCTATTAAATAGAATAGCTGAACTTTCCCAGTTTCCTCTAGAAGGCGTTCTAATAATGAACTGGGGGTATGGAATTTCCAAAAATTCTAGGCTTATTGCTATTCGCCTTAAGATTGATCTTAAAAACATAGCTTGCCTTTAGTTATTTGGGTCAGGAAATTAAATCCGTTATGCAGAACATTAAACTGTTAGATTAATTTTAAATATATACATTTAATTATAATCCGCCTTTAAATCCGGGTGTAAGGAATTATTAAATAGGCCTTAATAGGTTTTATTAGTATTTATTATTAATAGTTGGGTTCGATTCCCTTCTAAGGCAATTCTATATTTTTTTAAAATAATAAATCTAATATAATTATAATTATAATAATAAAATAAATATACTAATATTATCAATTTAATATTATTATAAAGCAATGAGTCAACAAAATAAATCACAAAATCGGATTTATCATGAAGTTAAAAATACTGGTTTTGAATTTAGTTTTAATAAAGATTTGTCAACTAATTCAGTAAGTTTTTTTAGTTAGACCAGTTTAATATAACTAGTATTTCAATTGAGTTGGGTCAAACCAAAAAAAAACACCCAAAAGTTTGGATCAGGTTTGAGTTAAGAAAAATCAATCCAAAATTTTTAAGTAAAGTTAACCTGAACTGGACTTGACCTAAAATTACTGATAATAAGATAAGTTAGCGTTAAATTTATTTTGGCTAGCTTTAAGATTAGTTTTGGCTAACATTAAGATTAATTTTGGCTAGCATTATGATTAATTTGGCTAGCATTATGATTAATTTTGATTAACATTATGATTAATTTTGGCTAGTATTATGATTAATTTTAGCCAACATTAAGTATTATATAAAGAGTAATATACTAGTTAATTAAAATTTAACCTACCTCTTTGTATATATACTTCATATATTACTATGATTTGGCAGAAGATTTTCCTCTGTACGTAGTAAATTAAAAGATAATATTAATTTATTTTTATTTATATATAGATCCTCTAGTTAGTTTTAAACCAGGCTCTAGTCAGATTAGTTCAAGCTTCAATTCTATTGGAATACTAAGCATAGCTTCTCTTCTATTTTTTTAAAAAAACTTATAATATTAACTAATAAAATAGTATGCAGCTATATTTTTACTAATCTGAGTCTATACTTTTCACTCATATAAGCTACTCTAAGTTGAACCAAAAATTTAATTTAGAGTAGCTTTTGATTATTAAAATTAAATTATTTATAAAAATTAAACTTTTTTTAAAAACAGATTAGAGTAGACTCTAGGGATAATTTGTGGTCTCAGAGTGTTTCTAATCATTGTACTATAGCTGAACTACAAGAATGGAAAGGAGAAAAATGTAACGATATTATAGACCTCTTTGATCAAAAGTTATTAAACGTTAGTATTTTTAATACAGTAATTAAAAATTGTATTAAAGAGCTAATATTCGAGAATTTGGATCAAGAGGTGCTTAATAATAATAATATAGATATTCCTTTAATAATTTTTCCAGATTCTAGAGAATATCTGGTTAATTTATTAAATTCATCTATTTGCATTGATTTTTTAGAAAAATTAAAAATTTTT